GTCTAAGATTGGTTGAACACAAGACGTTATACATATAAAGGTCAAGGTTCTTGAAAGTACAATTGGAAAAATGTTTTCAACCTTCAACTTTTTAATTTTTTTTATACCAGTCATACAAAGGATAAAACTATAATTATGTAATTCTTATTAATTTAATTCTACCTTTGACTTACAAAATTAGTTATTTCTAAGGGTAACAAAATCCTTTAAAACCAAATATTCATGAAGTACTTTGTTTTTCTCAAAATATTTACAATGAAAAAATGTCAAAAAGTGAAAAAAATCATTTCATCAATTTGTTAATTTATTAAAATAAATTTACACTAGAAAACATCATTTTTTTAAGTTACTGCTCGTTCACTGTGCTGACTTCCTCTAAGAATAACGAACAAATAACTCTATGGGTTGTTTTTTTCAAATAAACTTAAATTCTATGCAATACACTTTGAATCTAATTTGTGTGGAATCTAGAGCCATGTCGTCTTCCATAATATATCTTTAACTAACACGTAGTCTACAATTTTGTAATATGACTGTTAAATACTTTATATTTTTAGTCGTTTTTTTATTTTAAGATATTAGAATGAATAGATTTTTCTTCAAAATGTTATAACTTTAAACTAGGCTGAATGTATGTAAATCTAAGTCGTTGTATAAGATTTCACTGCTTTCAAAACTGTCTCCGCAACTTTCGTCGCTTGCCTGTGCTAAAACAAACCGCGTTCATTTGTCAAGTATTTTGTTCTTATTTTAAATTACAAAAATAATTTCTCAGTGAAGAAGAATTAGTAGCCAGCCCTCTATACTTAACAATGACATATCAATTAAAATACTTTTAATGTAAGTTAAAAACTTAGGAAATTATAATCTTAATACGTGCTCCGGAATTTTATTGTATAAATGTATATAATACCCCACAAAAGAATCGTTTACCTTAATTAAACGTAATCTTGGTACCACAAAATCGTGCTCCTTGTGAAAGAGTTTGTCCTGGGAAGTACTACCACCGTACATGTTTCTGCCGCCAAGCAGTAATGTCAGCATGCTATGTTCCGGTTTTGAAGGGCAGTGCCCCTCAGATCTTTGAGATTTAAAGCTCTAAGTAGTACTGTAACTGTCATGGACAGGCGTGTAGCTAAAGTAACCATCAGATGCACGACTTATTCGTCCCGTCACTTGCCATTATAAAAAAAATGAGTTTGAACTCTAGTTCTAGTTTTCCCAGTTTAAAGTTGAACTCACTTAGTTAAACTCAAACAGCCATAATTATGTTATTTTTGACACAGGTTGTGTTCTCAATCTACAAACCCTGTAGAATCGTGAATAGCGAGCACATCCTTGAATAGATAAGGACTAAAGACACTTTTAGGCCCTATACTTTTTATCATCTACAAGACTGAAATTTGTATTATCAAAACTTTGTAATAAACCTTACGAACCCTCTAATTTCCTATCTCAAATAACTTAAACAATATACGTAAATCCATCTAAGTTTTGTCATTTCATCACTCACCATAATCAAAAATCAAAGATCCTACACGCTTCTCCTCCTAGTACACCCGAAACTTTAAATTTGATATAAAAAATTTTAAAGATCAGGTAGAATATTATTTTTCACTGCAAAATTTTCAATGGAAAATGATTTATTTACAAAACTTATTTGCAGCCAATTCCTTTAGACCATGCTTTTTCTAAGGGGCAAAAATAAATTCATACAATCGTATGACGTTCACAAAAAACGCCGCGATAAAACCGGGCAGCAAATTGTCGTAGAAGGACATCGAGTACACAACCAAAGATTGATTTCACAATAAATGATACAACAATATTTTTAAGAATGACATACTGGCTATTATCGGAAGTATGCGAAAATAAGGAAAACGACAAACAAATTAAAACACTAACATATTTACTGTCACGGTAAGCAACACGCCTGTCCATAACAGTTATAGTGCCGCTCAATCGCAAAGATCTGATCTGATCTACATAAGTTGAAAAGTCCCATGTACCTATGAATTCACCAGCAACCTTACACTTCAAAACCAAAACGCAGTAATGCTTACGTTACTGATTGGCGGCAAAAATAGGTAAAGTGGCAGTACTTCCCTGGACATACTCTTTCACAAGGAAGTCTACTGCTAATAAACATTGTTATACTGAAAACATACCTAAATTGATTAATACAAATCTAGACAAACGAGTACCTACCTACCTACATGAAATTAAAAACCATTGTAAGAAATGCGAAACCTTTCATACAACGAACATGAGATTGTTTACGAGGTCCGGTGTTTACAATTTTCCGTGGAATCCGGACGTCTTTTGTTTTCTGCATCCGTAAAATTTGGAGCTCAAAAATTGTTAAACAAAAACACGGCTTCTTGTTTTATTTTACCCTCTAGCGTAGTCGTAAAGTTTAAAAAGTATATACAGCTATTTAGACGCTACATAATAGTATAATAACGTTTTTTTTTATAAATGGAACCGGAAAGTCATAATCTTTTTAGGGAAACTCGAAAAATTCATCATTCTCTCGGGATGCCTAAGGTTCAACTCACACTGGTGCAGAGGCGAAGCGTCGCGTCGCGTCCTGTTTTTCAACTACAACGCCTGGCAACGCGCGTCGACGCGGGACGACGCTCGCATTCGTGCACCTGGATCACAATGTGGTCGGCGTTTGACGGCTCACTATTCTCAAAAAAGGTTGACGCGCGAAGCCCCTCGACTGCAACCAGGCGTTGACGCTTGACTCCATATTTGCATAACACAAATTTGTACCTTAACATTGGGAAAATAGAGATGAATATGCTATAGGCGAAAAACATGAAGCGTCGCGACGTTTCGACATAGCGCCAGTGTGAGTTGAGCCATAAAGCAAATATTAAGTACCTTAAAATGTATTATGTAATAAGTAATCCTCTTAGAAAATACAGTGCCCAACACTAAAACATAATCTGGATTGATGTAGTTCCGTATTAAATAATCAGTTTAAGTGAGGGATATTGTTATTGACAAACGAGACCACCAAATTGGGGTCAACAGATAGTGTACGCAGGTATTTACGTAATTTGGTAGATGCAATACAACCGTAATCAGTGTTAAATGTTGATCACCTACGCCTGGTAATATAGCATAAAATCGTACCTAGAGAGATTAAAAAAACTGTAAATATTATTTGTCGAAAATATGCAATGTTATTTATATAACAGTACCCAATGTTATTTATGTTTTTTTATGATACCGAGTGACGAGGCGAACGAGTCGTGCGCCTGGTGGTAAGCGACACGCCTGTCACAGTTGCAGTGCCACTCAGAGCTTTAAATCGCAAAGATCTTAGGGAAACTGCTGCTGCGCCCCTCACCCAGAGACGTATAAGTTGACAAGTCCCATGTGCCTGTAATTTCACCAGCACTCTTACCCTTCAAATACACAACGGAGTAATGCTCACGTTACTGCTTGGTAGTACAAATGGGTAATAATAATAGTAACGCACACAGTCATAGCCCTACACTGGGAAAACCCTGTATCGCGGGTGCCATGGACACATAGACAACTATAATTAACACCCAAACTCAATATAGAAATAAATGTAGACCATACAAATATTTCTCTCGGCGCGGGAATCGAGCCCGAGACTTCTGCGTAGCAGTCCAGTATGGTAACCATTCGGCCACGGAAGTAGTTAAAGGTAAGGTGGAAGTACTGCCCTGGACGAACTCTTTCACAAGGAGCTCTACTGCTTACTAAACAAGTTACAGTTTATTTTAGCATATTTAGCAGTTACGCGACGCGAAAGAATTCGCGCGGCCGCCGCTCGGTGACCGCTGAGTTTTACGTACATTACTGGCGAATCTGAATTCTATTTACTAGGCAACAACATTTAAATTATTCGGAACGATAGAACCGCGAGGTCACCACGTAAACCAAAGACAAGCCAGACTCGCCCGCGCGTCTGGAACGCTTATTTAAGTTAAGAAGTAAAAACTGAATGTATAGAGCGCATTTTGCCATGTCAGCGGGCTCCGCGCGGTGCGCATGAAATTCGTCTCGAATAAACGCGCCCAAAAGGTTCGCACCCCCATACAAATTTCCGACTGGCCACGCACGGCTCACGCTTTTGTACAGTGACCAAAATTGTTATTCAAATTTTAAATATTTTTATGCTAGTGTTATTTGTTATGATGATATTTTCATGTTCAAATTAGGTATACCTACACAAGCATTATTTATTGCTATCAATATAGTACATATCGTTTACATCATGCACAATAAATTACAGGATCATGTGGTGACGCACGTTATTGTACGCAGATAATAATAATTAAACAGTAAGTCTATCAAATGTTTTGCAAAGACGTTATCTTTTGGATTATGGAATACTCATGAGCCTTTTCACAAGCGTTTACCTTCACTTTTTTGTCAAGTTCTAAAATTCTTGAGGGCAAATCTTGCAAATAGATCTGGAATCAAACCGGATGCTGATAAACAATAACATGTCAACGTGTGAAAATGGAAAAGTTTTTTAGCCATAGTGGCTAATGGATTTATGTCAACTGTTTTTACTATTTTTTCATTATTATCTCAATCAATTTGGCATTAATTTTCGAATTTTTGCGGGTTAACAATTATTTTTATTAAATTTTTTTCCGTATAATTGTTGTAAGAAGTGTTGCAACTCTGTTCAGGTTTAAGAGTGTTTGAAAGTAAAACTATGTTAATACTTTTGCGGTCATTCTCACATTCGATATTCTCAGTCTAATTACCGTAGCCATTGTTTTTTTTTCGCCTATTATACCCAATAACATTGAAAAATGAAAAGTTTAAGCTAAACTATCAACATGTCTAAATGGCATTAGAATAGACAAAGTAGTTTTCGAGTTATTAAGATACAAATATTTTCTGGATTAGATCTAACAGTCTGTATGTTAATGATCTAATGGTCGAGCTCAGCAGCATGCGCGTCGGATGTTTGTGTGAACAACATCACCTACGCGGACGACATGCTGATGGTGGGCCCGACCGCGAGGTCTATTAGGGAAATGTTGGTAGTCTGTGAGGCCTACGCCGCATCGCACGGACTTATATACAATGTAAAAAACTGTGAGTTCATGATCTTCAAGGCCGCTGGTAGGTGTCCAGAGACCTTTCCATCGATTACACTAAATGGCATGAGCGTAAAACAGGAGTTTCGTTTTAAATACCTCGGACATATTCTTGCCGACGTCCTTAAAGACGATGACGATGTCGAGAGAGAGCGCAGGTCGTTGGCGATACACGAGAATATGCTGGCCCGCAAGTTTGCCCGCTATGCGGATCACGGCAAATAACGCTCTTTAAAGCGTATTGTCAGGGTCTGTACACGGGCGGCTTGTGGATTAGGTGCTCCCAAAAGTCGCTAAATTCTTTGCGTGTCCAATATAATAATGTGTTCAGGATGATGTCTTGCGGAAAAAAGTAGCATCTTTGGTTAAAAATCTCCGGGGGAGTAACAACAACATCCTGAAGGTTGTGGCAGAGGATCTTAGAGCGCATGTACTGAGACATCTCGTACGTATAATGATTCCGCACGAGATGCCTCGTAAGTACAGGACATTTTAGATTTTAATTAAGTAATATGTTATATATAGGAAATGAAACTATTTTTCCGGATTTGTAGGTATGTATGATATTTAATATGTTATATAATATTCCTACTAACGTTTATTTTACTACTACTAACACCAATGGATCCTTGTTATCTGAAATAAATATTTTGTATTTGAATTTACCTGTACCTAGTCCTTGCAAAAATTATGCACGCGTAATACCGTTCACAATGCATATACTTATAATACCTTAATAAGCTTGAATAAAGCGTCCTTGTTATAATAAAACTAGACCCCTTGAAACCGTTTTGACGTATGTCAATGTGTTGAGATAAGTAAAAAGGGCTTTTATCATATGAAAGTCATAAAAATAATATGAACTCATCATCCATCATCCACAGCTCGACTTAATCCACTGCTGGGTATAGGCCTCGCGTAGTTTGTGCCATCCACCATGATCCTATGCTAATCCCACCCATCTACTGCCCGCAGGGGAACAGCGGAAGCAGGGTTCTGTGACGTAAAGATGTTGTGACTTTATTTCACAGAACCAAGCTACCAATTCCCAATCGCACCTCCTTGTGGTCCTCGTGGTAACTATGGTGAGAAATAACAACAATAACAATAATACTCAAATTATTGTACTGCTTATCATAGGCTAACGCGATCGGGAGAAAATCTCACCACTTTCAGGCTAAAACCCCCTTCTAGTTACGATCAATGCAAATACAAACTACTTGAAACAAATTATTGTATAAGTGAAATTTTAAAACTCTCATATTGAAGCATAAAAAAGTTATCGACTTATTTCGTTCTATTGTATCTAATCGTCAAACTTCTATTTTATTTTATTGTATTTTATTTTATTTTATTTTACATTTGTAGGGAAACTAACAGCTACGTACAAGTACATACAAAAAAATAAACACAGACGGCCAATTACAAGCTTCCACAGATAATAAATAAGCTTTATGCTTGGTCTGTGCACAATTAATGAGGAAAGAATTTAGAAAACAATATGATTAAAAGAGACAATACATAAGAGACAAGATTAAAAAGAGACAGATAACACAAAGGAGTCATAACACGAAGGGATTTAAATATTATATTATTAATTGTTACAATTACATCCTAGGATTTAGGTATAATTTTAAAAAAAGCGACAATTTTATTTTCGATATAACATCAGTGTTCGTAAATACGAGTATGTAACAATCTTTCATTATTTTGCGTTCGGACTAAATGTGGGTACTCTTGTATTACGTCGCCGTATTGCAATATATTTTCACGTGATTTTTTTCTATTATTCATTCGAGAGGCCACGGTAGAACTGTCTCGACTACGTGCTCGTATGGATGCTTTTTCTGTGTGCACTGCTGCGACGAAGGAAATATCTAACTTTCACATTTTTATTATTGAATGTTTAGTGTCTTTTGGACACCAAAACTTATTGCTGATGACTTATTATGCTTATTACTGATAGTGACGGTGGACATTTTGGAGCTCTAAACAGGAAGTGCCTTATGTGCAAAGAACAGCTGTGACGTCATCCACCATCTCATACGACGAGAAAACAAGAGTAAGTTATCTGCGACCAAAAATATAACTATTTTACTTGTCCGACCACTCAAAAAATACAATCCACTTCTATGGAATCACAGAAATCACATCGATTAGATTATTCTATACGTAGTGTGAAATGAAACATTTATTTCTAAAAAAATTAATGTTGGAATCTAAAAAGAATTACTTCATTACGCGATTTGAAAAATTAAAGATGATTTCTGACATTCTTTTTAAAACACGCAGCACGTCGTATCGTGGCCTTGACGGACATTAATTTTGATTTTAATTATTCAACCGCCTAATCCACCAGACTGCAGATCCAGGTTTGTCACCACGTCATCGAAGCTATGATGATAATTGCCTCTGTTAAGGATGAAAGTAAATTCTTGCCAGGAAAACTACTCTGGAAGCGCTTTTCCACCGGCGAGGCGAGACGAGACGAGACGAGGCGAGAATTGAAATCTCGCCGACCTATTTCCACCAAAAATTCCCTCAATCCATCAGCATCAGCCATCGCGCTAGGGTTATGGATAGTGCTGTTCAATTCGTCTAGCGATAAACACGCGGCTAAATTACCATGTTCCGCAAATTCTTATTATTAAATGTAATAAGAATAAGAAGAAATAATCATGTTGTAATATAAGCTGTTTGTACTTTCTTAGATAAAATAAATAAATAAATAAATAATAAATAAAAATAAAAAGAACTTTTTTGAAAATAACTTTTTTTATACAATCTTTTATCCTAACGCAAATGTCACGAACTAGCAAAATACACATAAAAAAGTTTCCAACTGGCGCTGGTGTGATTACATTATATTGCAACTATACTGTGTATATATATATATTTGAAAACGATGCAATGTCAAAGTGGTTACATAAATGTGTTAAAATTACAATCCTAATAACACCAGGGCGATATATTTTTCATTGACTATAAACTTTGTTTATTTTTCTCTGAAATGAAAGTATACTTTTTTTTAAATAGTATAAAAAAAACAGCACAAGGTACATTTTTAGAAATATCTAATATTTATATAATTTTGAAAATGTGTCAACATTTACATTTCAATGTACGCGACTGTATCTCACAATCTCGGGATTGACATTAATAGCCATCGCGAGCACACGCGAGCTCGCGCGATATCGTGATCGGGACATCGGGACATCGTGAATCGTGTTTTCGTTGCAGAGTTAATAAAGAGTCTATGTAGGCAGCAATACGGTTCAATGTTATCAACAAATATTTCAAATCTCGTCTCGCCTATCCTCGTCAGTCCCGACCATTTCCACCGAAGATGCGCCAGGAGAGAATTGATATTTTGCCATACAAGTTTTAAAAATCGTCTCGCCTCTCTGGTGGAAATGTACCCTTATACTATCGAGTTTCCAATTTGATTTGAAAAGTTTACAGTTTCCCCTAAGAATTGTTTTTCGCATAGACAATTTTATGCTCTAGAACAGAGGTTGCCAAACTTTTATGTCTTGTAAACTACGTGGCAAGTTCTTCTGTTTTGCGTAGACCACTCTGCCTTTTTAATATGTATTTTTTTTATAACTACATCAACTTCAAAAGTGCTTTTGACATGTGACGCAATTCTCCACAATTTGATAAGTTTAACTGTTAGATTAAATCAGAGTGGAAAGTTTAAAAAGACATGTTCATTTAACCAAGTATGTTATTTGTTGTGAACTGTTCAATGCATAGGTATAATGTACATATTCTATTATAAGAAACTATTATGTACATATGCACATAGATACTAACTGTGTAATGTGGATTATTCCATTTATGGAAAGTCAAAATTTTAGTTACTAAGTAGTGACTAAAATAGCCTAAATAATCTTCATACTCTTCACACACTTCACACTTCACTATTAACGTATCATACACCCTATGTTTTTTTTGGCTGACATGGACCCCTTTTTACTTAGAATGGACCCTTGGGTGTCGATAAACCATGTCCTGCTGCTGGCGATTTTAACACCATCAAAGACCACAAATATTATTTATAAAGAAATTCTTCAGTGGCTTACCATAAATGCGTAATTATTCACAAATATTTATTGCATAACTCTGGTAATGCGTGCTTATACCAGCTGATTAAATGTGAAATTGTTTTATATTTATCATTACGTTTTAGTAATTAATGTAAAAAAATTACGCAGAACAAGTCTCAAGAAATAGCAAATAATACCATTATCAGTTTTTTTACTTTTATAAGTTACTTCTAAAATAAAATCGATCATTTAATCTCGTTTGATCTCTAGGGCTGCCACCTTCCCGAAACTTTACTCCGGTATTCACTCAGTAAAAAGACATTTTGTCGATATCGAAACAATGTCGTACATGTCATGTCGAAAGCTTTCCTAAGATTTCGATTGTCCTAAAAAACTCTTATTCTTGGTAGTAATCAAAATGCTTCGAGAGATTTTAAAACATCTATTATTACACATTCTGTTTTTATCGACTGTATATAAAACATAATCGATAAAGGCAACATGACATACGTTGCTCTGATCCCAAAATTAGTGACTAAAGCACTTATGTTATAGAAATCGGGAACAACGATGGAGTAAATTGGACATCGATAAAGAGTTTTTCTTTGAAATAACTGAGGATAGCGTGCACTATTGTGTGATTCTCATATCAAAAGAATACTGTGACTTTTTGTCTAACGATCGAAAGTCGAGTTCCTGAATATCACTAACAAACACTTTTATGTATTCTCAGAATTATTGCCAAATAATAAACCATCGAATAATAATACAAATATTAATTGAATATGAAAATAATCCCCCCTTACCGTAATCTCTCCCTTATTTTCTATGTCTTTTGTGGTAGTCAAAGCAGTAGAGATCGGAATGTCGCACGCGATGTCGTCTTCTATTTCTTATCATACACTATAAGGCGTGCCATCGTCGCGTCGTAACGAATTTACCAATCGGCGTAAGATACTTGCAGATTGTTGGCCAGATTGTACCAAACGTCGAGGATAGGAAGGATACGTCGTGCGAGGGGGACTCCTTTCGTACATCCCATACGCAATGTTATAATAATTATGAAAACAAGATAGATATAGTAGATTCCTCGGATATGAATTTTATGCAATCTTTGCATAATGAGGGAGGGTTCTTAAGAATCCGAGAGCCGAGTACCGTGTTTAGGCCACGAGG